CGTCGTCGCTCTCGTCGTTTCTCCGACGTCTCAGCCTTCCCTCAGGTCAGACTACCTTGGCGAAAGGCCCAACCATTTGCAGTAAAGGGTAACGCCGTTTCGAGAATCGTCGCCGGAGGCACTCCCAATGGGGCCACGAAACGTGTGAGGACGGCCCCGAAATGGGCGGCGCGCCGCATGTGGACCCTCCCACTGGGGCTGTCGGTGGAGCTCCCTATGGGGCCACGGAACCTGTGAGGGGTGTGCCGAAAAGAGCGGGGAGCCGCATGTGGACCCTCACAGTGGGGCCTCTGGTGGAGCTCCCTGTAGGGCCATGGAACATGTGAGGGGTGTGCCGAAATGGGCGGGGAGCCGCATGTGGACCCTCACAGTGGGGCCTCCGGTGGAGCTCCCTATGGGGCCGCGAAACGTGTAAGGGGTGTGCCGAAACAGAACCATGTTGAGGGCAAGTGTAGGAATGAGAGGAGGCAGGCGGGAGCGGAAGGAGGAAGGAGGAGACGAGATGAGAGGAGACGCGGGACACTGTCTCTTCAAAACGATGCCCAACACCACAGGATGGTTGGGAAAATCATGTGACGGCAATGTTTGCATCGATTTCGACTTCTGGAGGCAGCATCCTGGTCCCAAGACAGTGACACCGAACTCCCCCCTACTTCTCGTCTTCCGCTGTAACGCCGTGCTAGTTGAACCACTCAGGTGGAGTGCGTCACACAGCTGGCTAGGTCAAGAAGACTGGCAGAGTGTGAATCGTCAGCAGACTATTTCGCCTGGCCCATGCCTGCCTGCTCTGGTGTTGGCCCCCTGGTCCCCAGACCTCAGCTGCTCTGCTTATGCTCAAAATTGGGTCCAGGGGCGCCTCGGCCTCATTCACCAGGGACCACACTTTCATCCAGGTATATACACGGATTGTCATGGAGCCCCAGACAAGCTTCCAGACCATCAGATCTGCGACAACTGTCCTTGTTCCCTTGCACTTCGGCTGTCTTACTTCTGGTCTAAGGAACTGGCCTGGCTGGCGGTCTGGCAGCTACGTTGCCGCCGTCGCCGCTCCGTCGACGCCTCGTCGCCGTCCGCGGTCTGGACCTGGCTTGCGGTCTGGCGGCTGTGTTGCCGCCGTCGCCGCCCCGTCGCCGCCTCGTAACCGCACAGATGTCACAGCATCGATTGCACAACATGGATTGGACCGCATATATTGCGCAACGTTGGTTGCACACCATAGAGTGCACCGCATAAGCTGCACAACCTATGTTGCACAACCTTTCTGGACCGCATAGATTGCATCATATAGATACACAGCTTGGGTTGCACACCATAGATTGCACAGCATGCATACATAGATTGCGCAGCACCGTTCGCACGTATATAATGCACAACCTAGATTGCACTACATGGATCGCACCACATAGATTGCACACCATAGACTGCACCGCTTCAGTTGCACCACACAGCTTGCGCACCACGCGATTGCACCACAAAGATCGCACTGCATATGTTCCACCACATGTTGCGCCACATAGATTGAAACATCTTCATTGCACAGCATGGGTTACACAAACTATCATAGACCACCATATATATACATATAGATAGGTGTATATATTCATAAATATACAGATTACTCCCCATGCACTGCCCCACATGAATTGCGCTGCATGGATTGCACAATATAACGATTTCATTGCCCAGTTTGCACGACATAGAATGCACCACACAGACTGCACCGCACTGTCTGCTCCACATGGATTGCTCCAAAGATACCCCGGGTCCGAAACACACTGCTTGGGGTCCACGCTGCCCAACAGAAAACTATCACAACGCCCCGTGAGAGGGGGGCGGCCCCCCCGAAATCGGCGGCCCAGCATGGCCCTCCATCGCGTAGCTCCCCGTCCCCCCCATCGTGGCATCCCGTCCTGGCCCCCCATCGTGACCGCCAATCGCGGCCCCCCGTCGTTGCCCCCCTGCGTGAGAGGAAGAGAAAACGACATAGACAGAAGCTTTTGGCGCTCCGCGCGGATTTCTCGGATCTGTGCTGGACCCCCCCTCCCTGGCGCGCGGAGCTCCAAGAAATCCGCGTGGAGCAGCATAAATGTATGTTTATTTACTTTTTTCTCCTTCGAATCCCATCTTGGCCTCCCATCGTGACCGCCAATCGTGGCCCCCCCCTCGTCGCCCTTCTGCGCGTTGCTCTGTAAAGGGTGTCTGGAGTCTTCAGCCGGAAGGGTGCAAGTCTTGCTCGAGGCACCACAAGGGGGGCGGCGAGCTCCGAGGACGAGGAAGAGAAGGGACAAGGAGGTCAGCAGCAGCAGGGAAGCGGCCTGGTAGTTGTGCGCGTAGACGCACGTGTGCCACTCGTGCTGCACGCCTTTCGGGCACCTCACTGGACGCAGGGTGCACGCACACTCGGCGCACTGGTAGGCAAGCTGGAGGCTAAGAACCGACGGGGGCGTGACGGCTCAAGCGGCAGTCTGGTCCAGAACACGCTCGGTGGCTAATCGGGTGTTGGGGACACGCTCTCAGGACGTTTTCGTGAAGGTCAACTTCCTGCCTCAGCATAGAACACACAGGAACTGTGCACACACATCACGAGCACACACCAAAAGCCACCCCAACCCACCCCGAAGTCACCGTTGGGCCCGTCGATTCCTGGAAGGGGGGGGGCACCAGCACATGGGGGAAACACGATGGAAACCGCACACACTCCAACCCGAAATTTGACGTGGTCTACGACCTTCGGGCTGGGGAGCAGGAGGAGCAGAAGGAGCAGGAGGAGGAGGAGGAGGAGGGAGGAAGGAGGAGGAGGAGGAGAAGGAGCAGGAGGAGGGAGGAGGAGGAAAAGGAGGAGGAGGAGGAGGCTTGGTGAAGAAACTTCAATCCTAGCCAGGCCCATCCCGGACCCCAGATCGGTGAAGACGACATCCAAGCGATGTGTTCAGATCGACCGCCTGGGAAATGACCATTCGGCCCGCGATATGGAATCAAGCCCCGACCGAGGGCCAGACGTGCCCAGAGACGAGCAGGAGAAGACGAGGTCGGATGACATTTGCTGACCTCACAGCTCAGCGCGCGATGGTTAGTGCAGCCTTCTGGTATTTCATGCATTCATTCGCATCATTGGCTCCGATGTCTCAGCGAGTGCAGCTTCCCGGTCAAAAAATATGACCGACTCATTCATCAAACTCGAAGCGATGTCCCTGCCCTCTGTCAGTCCTGAGGCCTCCACCCTGTGACGGCCTCGAATGCCGACGAGCCCGAAAGAGCCCCAGCCTGAGACCCACGACCTCTGACGTGTGAAGAAGCCGAAAGGGGTCATCTCAATTGGGACGGTCACCTCTAAGATCGATGCCGCAATCTAGCCTGATCTAACATTCGCTCGTTCGAAACCATACTTTCAAAAACTCCACCCAACAAACACGAAACACACCAGGGCACCCTCCACGAAACGATCTCGATCTTATAGCTCGGTCCGACAGTACATCGCGGTGACACCGGAAGAGGACATCGGGGATCGAACAACCCATGAGCGCTCAAAACTTTTGTTCAAAATTCGGCGTTTCGCTCGAGAGATCCCCTGAAACACGCCTTCGAACTGGCCTTCGAAACTATCGAGTCTCCTCCTCCTCCTCCTCCTCCTCCTCCTCCTCCTCCTACTCCTCCTCCGACTCCTCCTCTCCTCCTCCTCCTCCCTCCTCCTCCTCCTCCTCCCTGCTCCTCCTGCTCTTCCTCCTCCTCCTCCTCCTCCTCCTCCTGCTCCTCCTGCTCCTCCTGCTCCTCCTGTTCCCCTTCCTCCTGTCCTGCTCCTCCTCCTCCTCTCCTCTCCTCCTCCTCCTCCTCCTCCTCTCCCTGCTCTTCCTGCTCGTCCTCCTCCTCCTCTCTCCTCCTCCTGCTTTTCCTCCTCCTCCTGCTCCTCCTCCTCCTCCTCCTCCGATCTGCGTGATAGGCGGCTGGCGCTGGCAGCCTGGCCCAGCTCCGCTGCGCTGCCGAAGGGCCAGCGCCCGGGCGAAGGCAGCGCGCGCAGCGCTGTCCCTCCTCCTCCTCCTCCTCCTCCTCCTCCTCCTCCTCCTCCTCCTCCTCCTCCTCCTCCTCCTCTCCTCCTCCTCCTCCTCCTCCTCCTCCTCCTCCTCCTCCTGTCCTCCTCCTCCTCCTCCTCCTCCTCCTCTCCTCCTCCTCCTCCTCCTCCTCCTCCTCCTCCTCCCTCCTCCTCCTCCTCCTCTTCCTCCTCCTCCTCCTGCTCCTCCTCCTGCTCCTCCTGCTCCTCCTCCTGCCCCTCGTCCTCCTCCTGCTCCTCCTCCTCCTGCCCATCCCTGCTTGGATAGCAGGGGGCCCGTCATCGACTCGGGGATAGCCGGGGCACCCCCGCCAGCGGAGCTGGTGGGCGGTCGGCGCCGCCTGTATCGGCGGGGTAGAAGTGGAGCCAGCGACCAGCCGGAGGACTGGCGGAGGCGGGAGGGGTCGCCCCCCCGGGGGAGGGGGGTAGGCCGCGGTGGGACTGTGCCCCTTCCTTTTTCCTTTCTCCTGGCTCCTCCCTCCTCCCCCCTCTCCCTCTCCTCTTCTCTCATCCCCCCCGGAGTTCACAGTGTCGCTGCCGTCCACTCCCCCGCTGGGGATGGGCCAGAGGAGACCGCGGCGGCGCGCGGAGCGCGCTGCCGCGGGGGGTGAGCGCGGAGCGCCCACGGCGTGCTGGAGCGCGGCCAGTGCTCGGCGCCAGAATCGCAGTGGTTGATTTTTAAACTGCGAAGTTTTGGGGGGCCCTCTCGCCCAGGGAAAGCCTGGAATGGGGGTGGCTTCATAATCGACGGCTGTGCTCTCGTGCTCATGGCACACTTGAACGGCAAGCAAATCCAAGCAAATCCTCCTCCTCCTCCTCCTCCTCCTCCTCCTGCTCCTCCTCCTGCTCCTCCTCCTGTTCCTCCTCCTTCTCCTCCTTCTCCTCCTCCTGCTCCTACACTCAGAGGCCTTCTCAGGAGGCAGCGGAACTTCCCAGAAGCCCTCCAGCCTTCAGAAAAGTTGTTCATGTCTTCGGGGAAGGTTCAGACAACTCCTCAGAAGGCCGGGGCACGTCCGAGCCTTCTGAGAAGGCCCACCCCTTCTCACGTCCCCCCCTCGCTTGCCGCCAACTCGAGCACTCCCCCTCCCCCCATCTCTCCTCGCGCCGCCTCCCGCGTGCGTCGCTTCTCTTCCCTCCCTGTCTCTCTTTCTGCCGCAGGGCTGCCCTCGGCCGGCCGGTAAGCAAAAACATCTGGCGGGCGACCGGGGGATATCACGGCTGGCACGGGGGGGGGCCGAGCCTTCGGGCGATCTCGAAGGGGCCTACCACTCGCCATCGCTCGGGCGTCCATGCCATTGATGCATTGTTCGGTTTCGAGCGGGCATTGTTTCGCAAGGTGAGCAAGCATGCTCCTCAATGGTCCTCGCCGAGACAAAACATGCTGGCTGCATTCGGGACACCCAGAGAGCGCCACGAGAAGAAAGCCATCCTGCCACAGATCACGCACTGAACCCGATCAGCTGGCCGCGATCGGGGAGCCCCATGCCTATCGGAGCAAAACAACCGCGCTGGAACGCGGCCCTAGGCCGCCCGAAGTGAATGAGCCGCCCTGCTCCTCCTCCGCCTGCTTCTGATCGACCAGCCCTCTTGCGCGACGCACCTCACCTTGATGCTCAAATCTTATGCACAAGTATGCCATGCTCATGTTCATGCTCCTCCTCCTCCTCCTCCTCCTCCTCCTCTTCCTCCTCCTCCTCCTCATCCTTCCCCCCTCCTCCTCTTCCTCCTCCTCCTCCTCCGCCTCCTCCTCCTCCCTCTCCTCGTCCTCCTCCTACATTCCTTCTCCTTATAGATCACTTCTCCCTGTCGCACCCCGAAGCCAATGTTTAGGGCGGGCCGGGCGTTTCGCCCGAGACTTCCTCACCATGTATGACTCTGAAGCTTAAAAAGTGGCAACAGTTTTACAGATGGAGGGCGGGTGGGTCGCTTTCAAAATGTGGCTCTCGCCTTAGCGCCGCGCACATTCGCTTTAAACATTTGCAAGAGTTTCACGGATTCAGGGCGGGTCGTTTTCAAACGTGGCTCTGGCCTTGGCGCCACGCACCTTCGTCTGGAAAGTCGCAAGAATTTCAAAGATTGAGGGCGGGTCGTTTTCAAAATGTGGCTCTCGCCTTAGCGCCGCGCACATGTGTTATTTTCACGGACTGAGGGCAGTACCTTTTCAAAACATTGTTTTCGCCTTAGCGCCGCGTGCATTCGTTTAAGTTGACAACAGCTTCGCGGATTGAGGGCGGGTCGTTTTCGAGATGTGGCTCTCGCTTTAGCGACGCGCACATTCGTTTACACAAATTGCAAGAGTTTCACGGATTGAGGGCGGCTCCGTTTCAAAATGTGGCTCTCGCCTTAGCGCCACGTATACTCGCCTAAAAAAGTTGCCAGAGTTGTACCAGAACTGGTGCTTTAGAATGATTCAGGATTATGCGGGCGCAACATTTATGTTGTTTCTTGGTGTTGAAGTCCCAAAAATGGCGTTCTGGCACGATTACGGATAGTCAAGACGCAGCAGTCAGGTTGATACGTGGCGTTGAAATCCCGAGAGCAATGTTTGGGCACGCTTGTCTTCCAACGAGGCAGTTCCCTCGATGGAAATGAACCGTCGTAGGGGCCTACGAAGAGAGAGCTTGGAAGGAGAGCTCATCCCAACATCATTGATGACTCTTGGGCTCACACTGGTCCTCCTCCTCCTCCTCCTCCTCCCCCTCCTCCGCCTCCGCCTCCGCCTCCTCCTCCTCCTCCTCCTCCCCCTCTTCCGCCCCACCTCCCCCTCCTCCGCCTCCGCCTCCGCCTCCTCCTCCTCCTCCTCTTCCTCCTCCGCCTCCTCCTCCTCCTCCGCCTCCACCTCCTCCTCCACACGCCGTGCACGTGAATGCGGCACTGCCCGGAGCTTACCGCCACGGCTTGCCCATAGACCCCAGGCGGCCTGCTGCCGCCTTGCGCTTCCCATTTATCATACAGGCCTCGGAACAAATTAGCGAACACATGCCACATTCATCCGTCAACGCCTCCCCCAACGCCTCCCCCTCCCCCCCTTGTTCAAAGTTGGCGGTGGGTCTGATGAGATGCACTTCGACCGCAGTCTCCCCCGCGCGTGCCAACATTGAGTTTGGGGGGAGGGGGAGTGTTTAGTAATTGTTTCCCTCTACCGTATCCCTCCTCTTCCACCACCCTGCCCTCCCGCGAAAATGCCCGCAAGATCGGCAGGAAAGGAAGGAAACGGGATCTGACGGAAACAGGCCCTGGATCCTGGGGCTTCTCCCCGGGACCAACTCTCAACCCAGAGCCGTTTCTGGACGGTCCCAAGGCCCGTGTGGGCTCGATGACAGCGAGAACCACGGGGACCCGTGTCCCTCACGAAGGGCCACGATGAGGGGGACCAGGCTCAGGAGGGGGGAGCCATCAAGCTGGAATCGGCAATACATCGAGGATAGGGGCCTAGTCGCCCACCGCTCCCAGGAACATGCGGATTCGGAATCGGAGGCCCATCGCCGATCTCTCGCCGAGGTACCGCCGATTCCAGCTCGACGCTTCCCACCTGAGCATCGGATACCCCCGATCCTTGCCTCTGACTTCAAGACTCGCGCGCTTGGCGCGACCACCTGGAACACCAGCGAGCCTTACACACTTGTACATGAAGCTTTTGACGGCCCAGGGGCCCGTGGGGGCTCGAAGGCTGTGAAAACCCATTTTGGGGAGACCGAAAGATACCGACACCGCTACTCCCCAGACCTCTCCCAGGGTGCGTTCTGACCAGAATGCCGAGGCGAATCCAGCGGTTGCGACGAGGTCCTCCGAGGAGGCCGAAAAAAGGAAAACGAGCGAAGGGTAGAGGTGTGGGTGCCTTTTCCTCCTCTGACGTTCGAGTCGTGGCGACCACCGGGAGCACCAGCGAGTCTTGTACTTGTACATGAAGAAGGCGTCGGTCAGCGCTGCGGGCTCCTCTGGCCGCGTGAGGGCAGCCAAGCGGGCACACGACGGGGATGTGAGGCTCGGTCGGGAGGACCGGACACGAGGAACCGCAGGACGGGCGCGAGGGGAACGCGCAGTGGGGGAAAGAGGCTGCTCGTGTAGTGGGGCGCGGGCCTAAATTCTCAGCGTCGGCGCTGCTTGTGGAAGCGAGGGCGGCGAACGCGAGGGCTTGGGGCGCCTGAGGGACCCCTGACCTGGCCGGAACCTGCGCGTTCCCCCACAACGCCGACCGCGGCACCTCCAATGTGATTTAAGCGGGGGCCAAAGGGGGGGACGAATCTGTCGTCCAACGCACATGCGTTTTCCGGGAACTGTCGCTACCTGGGGGGAGAGAGGAAAAGAGGGGGGGAGCGGGGTAGCATTAGCGTTGGGGCGGGGCGGGGCACGTCGAGGCGGGGGTGCGCTGCGATCGCCACCGCATGCGCGCGAGCACAAGCGTCTGTGGGGGGTCCAAGCCCCCCCATACGTGGGATCGTTTCTGCTACCTGGAGGGGGGGAGGTTGGCCGAGGTAGCGGCAATCACGCGCTTGAGGATGGTGTTTGGGTTGACTGAAAATCCAGGCGGGCGGGACGAGAGAGGGAGAGCACCCTACGTGGCCACGACGCGTGTGAGGGGTGTGAAAGGTGTGCCCACATGGGGCACGGCCCGCCACGCGAGCGCTGCCACTGGGGCTTCACGTAGAGTTCCTCCTGGGGGGGCGAAATGGGGCGGACCTTAGCTGCAACACCAAGCGGGTCAACTAAATGTTTAATGGGTGCGCCGAAATGAAGCTGATGATGGCGCTGAGAGTGTTGATTGTAACGAGGACATGTGAAGGGCAGAGGCAGGGATGGGGGAATGGGTGATCAGAGACGCGGGGCGCTGTCCCTCTTCAAAGCGGGGGCCCAACGACACAGGACGGTTGGGAACAATATCGTCTTGGAAATCTTTCCCCGCTCTCAGGCCCGTCCACTGGCACATGGACCGCCGAAGAGCGGCTCGGAACGAAGAGAAGCTCCGGGCCCTGAGATCCGGCGACGCGGAGAAAATGAAACGTCGTTGTTCTTCTGTGTCGCAGCGCGGCAGAGGCATTCCGCAGGCGCGCCCAAGGAATTCGGGCCACGGTATTGCGAAGTGTCCCGCATGAAAGAGGAATGGAAAAAGAGGAGAGACGGCTGCTGAGCATGGGCAACTAAACGGGGGAGGCGCATTCACGCACGAAGCAACCAGGCGTAGCCAGCGCGGCCGGAAGGACCCACAAAACCCGCGGGCGGGCGGGGAGGGGGGGGGCGGGAGCCAGCGAGGCCAGGCCCAGGGCCGGCGCACGCATCACAGCCGCGGGCGGGGCGGCGCCCAGCCGAAACGGTGACTAGCCGAGGGCTCCCAGCGGAAGGCAACCGAGGCAATGCGCGAGAGCGACTCGGAAGCGGCGCCCCCAAATTACTCACTGCGTGGAGCTCCCCATATGTGCATTTCATGTTTTATGGCATGCCATAGTGAACGTCTGAGATGAGCATGCCATGCTATGTTTTGTGTCTTACCGTGTTCTATGTTAAGTGACGTCAAGCAAGGATGTTGGGCATGGAACGAGCAAACCGCCCGAGACATCCCCGCAAACGGGCCCGTGTCCTACCCCCCCGGAAGTTCCCCTCAGGGGTGCTGAAACCGGCGCCCCGCCTAAGACATCCTCACATTCTGATCTGAAACCAAAGATGTTGGGCATGAAAGCGAGCAAACCGCCTGAGACATCCCCGCGAACGGGCCCGTAAAAACACCCCTGGTGGCACCCCTTGGGGGTGCTGAAACCACCGCCCCGCTTGAGACATCCTCACATTCTGCTCTGACAGCAAAAGGTGTTGGGCATGAAAGCGAGCAAACCGCCTGAGACATCCCCACAAACTGGCCGCGAACGGGCCCGTGAGAAATCCCCACAAACTGGCCGCGAACGGGCCCGTAAAACACCTCTGGCGGTTCCCCTAGGGGGTGCTGAAACCAGCGCCCCGCCTGAGACATCCTCACAATCTGCTCTGAGAGCCAAGGATGTTGGGCATGAAAGCGAGCAAACCGCCTGAGACATCCCCACAAACTGGCCGCGAACGGGCCCGTGAGAAATCCCCACAAACTGGCCGCGAACGGGCCCGTGAAAACACCTCTGGCGGTTCCCCTAGGGGGTGCTGAAACCAGCGCCCCGCCTGAGACATCCTCACAATCTGCTCTGAGAGCCAAGGATGTTGGGCATGAAAGCGAGCAAACCGCCTGAGACATCCCCACAAACTGGCCGCGAACGGGCCCGTGAGAAATCCCCACAAACTGGCCGCGAACGGGCCCGTAAAAACACCCTTGGCGGCTCCCCTAGGGGGTGCTGAAACCACCGCCCCGCCCGAGACATCCTCACATTCTGCGCTGAAAACAAAAGATGTTGGGCATGAAAACAAGCAAACCGCCTGAGACATCCCCACGAACTGGCCGCGAACGGGCCCGTGAAAACACCCCTGGCGGCTCCCCTTGGGGGTGCTGAAACCAGCGCCCCGCCTGAGACATCCTCAAAATCTGCCGCGTGCTGAATAATTCAGACTATGAGAAGGTCGAGTATGTGTAGGTCTGAGTAAGAAGAAGTCTGTGTATGAGCACGTGGGAGTATGAATAAGTCTGAGTACGAATAGGTCTGTGTACGAGTAAGTCTACTATGGGTATGCCTGAGTATGAATAAGTCTGTGTATGAGTAAGTCTGTGTATAAGTAAGTCTGGGTATGAGTAAATCTGTGTATGGGTACGTCTGGGTATGAGTAAGTCTGAGTATGAGTAAGTCTGTGTCTGAGTAAGTCTGTGTTCTGGGCGTGTTCTTGTTCTCTGGAGTCGGCGGCGTCCAAGAAATAACAAGAACCCCATCTCAGGATATGGGAAAAAGGGAGTGGCGGAGTGCCGCCGAAGAGGCGCCGCCAGCCGTTGGGCGCAGGGGCGAAACTGTCGGGCCCTTGGCCGGCGCGGCGGCGCGCGCGCCAGACGGGCCGCGGAACCCCTGGCAGCGAGCGCGCGCGGCGAGTGCGCCAACGGCTGGGCGAGGGGGGGGCGCGCCGCCCAGGGTGGATGGCCCTCTTGTTCTTGAGAATGCGCCGTCGGGACTTGGCGCGCTCGTAGGCCCAGACGGGATGCGCAACGCGATGTCCCATGGGAGATTCCCTCAGCTCGGGATGGTCGGCGGTGATTTTTTCGCCAAAAAAAACCGACAGTGTCGGAGTCGGTGCCAGAATCGAAATCTGCTGCTGGATACGCCGCCCGCGGTGCTCCTGATGCGCCGGCGCGGGCGGCTCATGGTGCTGATGGTGGGCCCGGCGCTGCTCCTAAAGCTGAAAGGGCCCATGCCATCCCAGCTAGATCTGTCCCCAGCGCCACTGGCACTCTGATCCTGATCGCGCGCGGGCGCCCCCGTCAGAAACGCTCGGCGTTGGAACGAATGCATGGCCGAGGTGAGATTGCCCGGCGAGCCTTCGATCAATGTCCGAATCGGCGCAAGTGGCCATCATGGCGAGCTGGATACTCGACACGCCCACCGCGCGCAGCAACTGGTAGCTGAGGCCCTCGCAGCCGATCGTGAGCTGTCCAGCCTGCGGCGCCCTGTGGCGAGGGATGTCGACCCCGGCGAGAAGGTCGTCGATGCGCCCCTGCGGCAATCAGTTGATATTCATCAGAATCGATGCCGCCTGAGTGCGCTCCTCCGCAACAAGCTGGCCCCGCCGTTCCATTAGGCCGTGCGTGAAGTAGGCCACAGGCGGCAATGGGCCGCCGTTGATACGACCGCCTTGGACGCGGACAGCCGGCGGCCACTCGCCCGCGCACTCGCGAGTCATGCCAGTCATGCAAGACGAAACGTGACTGAACACGCCATTACCTCCCGCACCCAGCGTTGGAAGGGCACGCCAGCCAGTGGCTCGGGCCCCATGGCGCGGAGGTGTCGCATGTTGCCGCTGCCACTGCCGCCTGAGCCCACGCAGGCGACGTAGCTGATGGCATCGGCCATTCCCACCCCGATGGCCCCCCATCCAAAGCGGAGCCATAGCGGCGAAAGATCTCGTCGCGAGCCGCATTGCCACGGTCCAGAGCACTGCCAACTGTAACGCAATCAAATGGGACACGCATAGGAATCCGGGTCTGCCACACACAGGGAGCGCGCAGGCGCCGTCGAGGGACATATCCCGCAGAACCGATAACGAGTAGCCCCAAAGCTTGTGCAACGGCCGCCTCGAAGGATGGCAACATAGCTGCCCGACCGCCCTCCGCATTCCCGCTCTTGCTCGCGCGCGCTCCCCCAGCTTCCGCGACAGAGTCGCGGGCAACTCGGGGCGCCTTGCCGACGCCGACGATGCGAGCGTCGGATCGAGCGGCTGATTGACATGGTCGGCGACGCCCACATGCGGATGCCAAGAGGGCGGCGCGTCCTTTGCCTCTTCCCCCGCGAGGCTTACGCAACACAGTTGGGAGAAGCTCGGGGCCCACTGGCGAGTGCTCTGGAGACGTAGCATCGCAAACACCATTCGAGAGCACCGAGGGGAAGAAAAGGCTGGCGGAGGGGGCGCGGTTCTTCTTGTAGGTGTCCTGGTAGTGGTAAGTGTGCTCGCTGGCCAAGGTCAAACCTGCTGGCGGGGCGGCATCGGCGCCGCTGGCCAAGGTGATTAGGCGCTAGAGCACGAACACGGTGAAAATAGTCCTGCGCGAAGTCGTCGTTGCTCAAGGAAAAAGCACGGTCACCTTGAAGTGGTAGTCCTTGAAGTGGTTGTGTCACACGGCAGGGTGGTGGAACCTTCGCCATCGAAGCAAAGCAACGAGAGGAAACCTTCGCGGCCGTGGCAGGGAGCAGAAACCTGCTCCGCTACCAACCAGCAAAGGGGTAGGGTAAGAACCTCTGCTTTACGACGAGCGGAGTAATGACACGGTTGACGTACACAACGGGATTGGCACGGGCACGACAGCTTGGCCAGCTTTCGCGCCCCCGAGCAGAAACGGCAGCGGTGAGGAAGACGATTACAACAGCAAGAGGCAATACAATACAATGACATACCGCTCGAGCGATGGCGCGCTGAGTGGCACGCACCTCACCGATGCACAGACCAGTGGGTCAACGCCAGAAAAGCGGGCTGGGAAGGGAGGCGCTTCAACTGGGATGGGTGACGCGCCAAGGGCGGGGAGGGGCGCACCACCTGGGGTGGATGGCGCGCCCGTGAGAACGCACCTAACTGGTGCACGCGCAGGTTGATCGCGAGCTGGGGCACGCCGACAGCAGAGCCAGGCGCACCACCTGGGGTTGATGGCGCGCTTGGGGGTCGAAATCTGGCGCACCACCAGGCAACGCACCTACACAGACAGGTGGATCGGTGACGCGGGGCACCTCCTGGGGTGGAAGGCACCTCGCCGCGGTCGCAATCCAGGTAGGGCTCTTGACGCGCCGCGTTGGGCCAGGAGTTGCTTTGGCTGTTTCGTCGACGCAGGCCAGGCATCCAATCCCGCGCAATCGGGAATGGCCCCCTGTGGGCCATGATGCCTCGCTGGGTGCTTGCCTCCTTGGCCCTTCCCGCCCGTTGCCTGGGTCTGGCGGTCGTGCCGCTGCTGCCAGACAGCGCCCCCATCGACTTCCAGGTGACGGTAGTGTCAGAGGGTGCGGATGTCGTAGTGAGCCTCGGCGTGGTCTCCCGGGAATGTATGGCAGAAGTATAGTCAAATCCGTGGGGGCTGTGCCGCCCCTTGCCGGGGCACTGTCCACCCCTCTGGTCGCAGGCCCTGTCCCAGCCCTGTGCGAAGAGGGCACCGCACGCACCCTTCAAGGCGGTCGCTGGTCTCGGGCCAGGTCTCGACTCTCTCGTCCCTTCCCCTCCATGGCGGCGCCCACTGCAGGTCGCGCCTGGGCGTCCTGTACAGTCGACCACGAGGGTCGCTCCGGCCCCCCGCTGTGCGGCCTCTCCCACCGCTCCGCGCGGCTCCCAGCCCCGCCCCATGCGCCATCGTCTGCCCCTGTGCCCGGAGCAGCAAAGCGACAAGTGCAGGACCCCTTCTGCGGCACCTCCCGACCCGGAGCCCTCCGCACGGGCCCCGGGTCCCGAATCTGGGCGAAGACGCCCTGACCCTGTGTAAGAAAAGAGCGGTGCCCAGGTCTGAGGGGGCCGAGGAGGAGGAGGAGGGGGAGGAGGAGGAGGAGGAGGAGGAGGAGGAGGAGGAGGAGGAGGAGGAGGAGGGGGGCGGGGTAGCAAAGCCGCTCACACAGTTGGCTTCCTCAGCGCCTTACGGCGCCAGAAGCACCGATGTAACCATGGAGGACAGGGCCCGGCGGCGGGGCCGAAGCCCCCTGCATGCAGCAAGCTCCGCACCCCCCCCTTACAAACGCCCCCAGCTCTACAGGGGCCCAGTGACACACAAATAAATAAGCACAAGTCCTGGGATTTCCCATGCCCCCACACTTCTCATATATTCTCATGCTGTCCTGGGGATCGACGATAAATTGCGTCTGTGTGTGTTGTCCCCCTCCTGATTGTCGTCCGACCCGATGGGACCCGTAGCCCGTTATCCATCGGGCCCGAGGCCCGCTTCCCACAGAAGCCCCGCCCCTCCAGACATCGGACGTTTCGGATGCGATCCAGCGTGGCTCCCCTCGAGGCAGTTCCCGCGGGGGACCGGCTCTTCATCCAGAGTCGCACTGTGGCGGCGGGCCCTGGAAGGGCCCCCAGAGGCCAAAGCTTGCAACAAACGCGTGCGCCGCCATTTTTGCTCACGGCGCGAGGGTGTCAAGCTTCGTGGCGAACAACACAAAATCTCGCGGCGGCGAGGCGCCTCGAGCGCGAGTCCTTCTTCGCGGCGATGACGGGCGTTATGGGAGGGGGGGGCGGGGGGGGCATAACGTAACGCTTCCCCCGTCGTGCCGTTCCGGCGCCACCCCAGCGTCCGCGTGCACGGCGACGACGAGCGACGACGACGACGACGACGACGACGACGACGATAAGCGACCACGACGACCACGACGACCACGACGACGACGACGACGACGACGACGACGACGACGACGACGACGACGAGCGACGACAGACAACGAATAGCGACGACGACGACGAGGAGCGACCACAACGACGACGACGAGCGACGACGACGACGACGACGAAGACGACGACGACCGACAACGACGAGCGACGAGGAATTGTGGCGAGCACATGCCTGCGAAGGCGTCGTAGCCTCCACGTGGCGTATGAGAGGTATGCTCTTTACCTCTGTCCTCAATCCTCATCGTCGTTGTCCTCCCCCTCATTCTCCTCCTATTGCCCTCCCTCCTATGCGGATACCAGTAGATACCTCTTTGCGATCCCCATGCGGAGCCCTGCGCGGATTCCCGTGCGGATGCCTATGCGGATCCCTGTTCGGGTTCCTATGCGGATCCCGATGCGAGCGGCGGCAGTGCCGGAGGCGCCCTGGGGGCCAAAGCGTTACGTTATCGGGGGGGGGGCGGGCGGGGGGCCATACCGCGCGTTATGGCCCAAGCAACACAGAGACACGCTCCTCCAGGGAGGAGGAGGCCATGACGAGCGCGGCCGACCAGGGCGGACGGGGCAGGCAGAGGCACTTGAGGGGCAGCAGGGAGCGCTCTGCTGGGCAGATCCGCCCTCAGCCCGCCACCGAGCGAGGAAAGGGAAGAGGAGGACCCCTCGGCTCTCGGAGCGGGAAGGCGACTGCAACAGGTCACCTTGGACGCCCGAAATGGGTATTGAAAAAATGGGTACAATGCCCAACAGCAAACGTTGCCCCAAACCAACAGCGGCCGCTGTTGGACAGGCGGCCCTCTGTCTGAAATGGGCACAGGCTGCGGCGGCGTGGACAGCGAATCCTGCTCAAAACGAACAGGAACTGCTGTTGGGCATTGTACCCATTCTTTCCGCACCCATTTCGGGCGTCCAGAGTCACACAAACAGCAAAAAGGGCCTGCGTGCCTGGAGCGGCCCGGCGAGAGATCGCGGGGAGGTCGTGTGGCCCTCCTGCGTCGACTTCGTCGTAAGATAGGGGAGCGCACGGGGGGCCAAAAAAGGTACCGATACCGCTACGTCCAGCGCCTCTCAAGGGGCGTGTTCTGACCAGGATTTCGGGGCGAAGTCGGCCGTGGCGACGACGGCTCTTCCAGGCCGAGCAGCGGCATCGGTACAGTCGGGCCTAGGCCACAAAAACCTCCCTGAAGAACGTGAGACCCTCCGCCGACCAAAACACACAGAACGTCCAAGGGCACCCTCCCCAGAATACACAACAACGTCCAACAAAAACGAAAAACACCAGGATACCCTCCCCGAACCGACCTCGGTCCGACTGTGTCTCTTCCTACGTAAACTCCTTGCCTGGAGGGAGATCCTTGTCCGACGCCACCAACGCCAACGCACAGCCATTCGGCAATCAGCCGCGCGCGCTGTCCCCGTCTGGATCGCAGCGTCGTGTGTGTTGCGTGTGTGCGTGAACCTTGCTAGGGGAACGAACAATGACATAAATATACAAACTCGGAGGTCCGCGCGGATTCCTCGGATCGGCGCTGGGGCCCCCTGACGGCGCCCCCGGCGCCGCCCCTGGCTCGCTCCGCGCGCTAGGGAGGGGGCCCCAGCGCCGATCCGAGGAATCCGCGCGGACCTTCGAGTTTGTGCGTTTATGTCATTATTCGTGCCCCTGGCTTCGCAGCGTCGTATGTGTGCGCGGGCCCCGTGCCGCGCCCTGCTGCCTCCGCCCCGCCCTGCGCGGCCGGGCACTGCCCTTAGGGCCGAGGGCCCCGCGCGTCCTGCCTGCACTGGCAGGGTCTCCGCCCGGCCTCGGGGCTCGTCGGAGATTTTTGTAGCCGTATCACCACGCGGGCCGTCACTGCCGCCAGCCCCAGAAGGATACGCTCCTCCTCCTCCTCCTCCTCCTCCTCCTCCTCCTCCTCCTCCTCCTCCTCCTCCTCCTCATTATCCTCGTCCTCCTCCTCCTCCTCCTGCATCCACATGCTCTGCGAGAAGGCCTGGCCTGGCGTTTGCCACGCCACTAGCCTTGACACGCGCTGCCTTTGCTGAGATGCACCGCTTCGTCTGTCTTGGGATTGCCTTGCCTTGCGCCAGAGATCGCCTCGCCGTGCTCCTGCCCTTGCCTCGCCACGTCTTGACTCTGCCGTCTCATGCTCGCGCGCCAGAATACAATCGCACAAACAAGACCAAAGGTAGGCACGTGAGGAGGAGGAGGAGGCGGAGGAGGAGCAGGAGTAGGAGCAGGAAGAGGAGGGAGAGGACGAGGATGAAGATGAGCAGAACACGGAACTGGAGCACGAGGTATAGAAACAAATGCAACACACGAAACAAGAGGAAACAGATGTTGAGAAGGCGCGGGTTGACGAGCAAGCACGTGTGAGAGCGACGGGACGCTGAGACCGCCCTTCCTTCCGTGCCCCCATCCTCTAGCTCCACCTCCGCCTTCTCTTCCTGTCCACTGTCCTGGTTCTCCTCCTCTACTTGCAAGAGGTTCGGGATCTCCTGGCAACCGATGGGGAGGTCAGAAGCTGACGAGGGAACAACACGCTGGGGCAAAAGGACAACGTGAGGTATAGTGAAAGAGGCCAAGGTCGCATAGGCAACCGACTAAGCCGTTGCCAGGTCGTCCTGATCGACCTGAGGAGCCGAATCACGAATGTGCGCGAGCGCGCACATACCTCAATATAAGAAGAAGTCGCGGGGGTCAGCTCGGTGGTAAGAACCGACAATAACCACACAAGCGCTTCGAGCGCGCTTAGGGTATAGCCCCTTCCAACGCGAACTTATCGCAGGGCAGTGTTACCGAGCAGATGGCTTGGAACGAATCCTGGCTGACAAGACCACAGCGTGCTGCAAGAGCGACAACGATGCGGACCGCGACGCCTGTGGGGCCCTATGGATTGTACCTTTATTGAACAACAAGGGGAACGTGTATCGCGGATATTGCGCGAAGCTGAACAACTCGAGCTCCACTCCAATTCCTCGCCCGTCTCTTCCTGCCTACCGTTTCCTCCTGCAACATGTATCAACCCTCCTCCTCCTCCTCATCATCCTCCTCCTCTTGTTCCTCCTGTCGATCCTGCGGCACCCATCCCCAATCATGTCCCTCCTCCTGGTAGGCATCAGCATGCGCATTGCCCCCGTCCTCCTCCCCATCCCTTTCCTCGGCCTCTGTCTGTCCCATCACCATCATCGCATTCCTCATCATCCCCCTTGTCCTCCATCTCATGCGATCCCTCGTCCCCTCTCCAACGCCTCACCTGAACGCTGCCAGCATCATCACCGGCAGCATCCTCGCACTCATCATCATCGACGCCGTCATCATCAACATCCTCATCGACCGATGCATCATCAACATCCGCATCATCAGCAGCTTCCTGTGCATCACAATCATCAGCACCAACAACATCGTCACCACCAGCTTCATCCTCATCAGCAGCAGCATCATCACCACCATAAATCAGCGTCATCATCAGCTGCAGCGCCATGATCATCAACAGCATCGTCGTCGTCATCATACTACCGCCATAATCATCACAATCAGCAGCATTATCATCATCACCGTCATCATCATCATCAGCAGCAGCATCATCATAGTCACCCGTACCATGAAAACAACCAGCATCATCATCCGCATAAGCATCATCAGCAGCATTGGCAACATCATCATCGCCCGCACCATCATCACCATCATCAAGGTCATCATCGGTGGTATAAGCAATCGTATGAACGTTGTCACCAATGTCTACGCCGTCGTCTTCGTCGTTTTTGTCTGCGTCGTCGTCGGCGTCGACGTCATCGGTATCGGTATCGCCATCGTCATCATCGTCGTCAACACCAGCCGCATCAAGGTCTTAACCTACTCAGCTTCACCAGCAGTGTCATCAGTAGCATCACCATCGACATCATCATCATCATCATTCCCATCATCATCCTCATCATGCGCATCATCAACATCACCATCATCAGGGAAATCAGCATCGTCATCGTCATCCTCATATCCAGCCTCACCAGCATCATCATAATCATCAGTTTCATCTGCATTGTCGTCGTCGCCACCATCATCATCATTATCCTCATCATCGTCATCATCATCATCGCCGTCAGCACCGGCCTCGACACCATCAAAATCGTCGCCATCACCAGTATTAAGAGCATCGCCAGCATCATAATCGTCAGCATCGCCATCATCCGCATCCTCATCGCAAGCCGCACCAGCATCATCATAATCATCGGCAGCATCATCACCATCGTCATCTTCATCATCAACATCATCATCGGCATCAGCATCCTCATTCCGATCATAAACAACATCACCAAAGTCATCATCAGTATCAGCATGATCATCATCAACATCACCATCGGCATCATCACCACCACCACCATCAGCACCATCATCACCGTCATCATCATCATCATCATCATCATCATCATCATCATCATCCTCAGCATCCTCAGTATCAGCAGCATCGGCAACATCATCAGCTGCAGCAGCACTACCATCACCAATCACGAACACCACCACCATCATCAGCCGCAGCATCATCATCATCATCATCATCATCTTCAATCGCCACCATGACCGCCAGTGTCATCATCAACCGCATCAGCATCATCATCGGCATCATCATCATCGTAACCATCATCGGCGGCGTCGTCGCCGGCATCAACAGCATCATCAGCATCTTAGTCATCGGCCACTTCACTAAACCAGTGTGACAACGCATGCCGAGGCCGCATGTCGAGCCTACACAGAGCGGAACCGACCTGTGGAGACTCAGAGCTGATCCGAAGTGTCCGAAACCCCCCCACTGCGCCCTCCCCCCTCCCCCCGCTCCCCACGGGAGCTGCGTTTGTTCGGGCCCTCTCGGGGTATGGAAAGAATCTGCGCAACAGGACCGGCCACTTCGACATTGGGGCTTCGCTGCCCCCCCCCGGCAAGAATCCCCAACAGGATCCGAACGACGTTCGGGATGCATGGAGGCTCTCTTGAGCTACCCAGGGCCATTGGGACGCCGTCGGGGGGCTGCTGGCGACTCTGGAGCCTTGCTTGGAAAGCTGTAGGGAGGACTGGGGAAGGGCGCCAAGCAGGTCAAAGCACGCTCGGCTCACTTCCGAATCCGAAGCAGGTGGAGCGAGGCGAGATGTGAAAGAGAGAGGGAACAGGTGTCTATGGAGCAAGGTGGATGGGCAAGGAAGGCAGGATTAGGAGGGGGGGGGGGGCGGGGAAATGAGAGCTGGAGAGAGAAAGGGCGGGAAGTGGGGGGGGGGGGGAGGCTGAGGCGAGAAGTCATGGAAGCGAACAGGGGGCAGCGACTGCAGAAGCCCCTGAAGTGGGGCGGGCAAGAAAGCTAGGCAGCGTGACTTACCTTCTTTGCTGGTTCGCGTGGACGTCCGAACGACCTGCGCGTCTCGGGCACCGCGCCGTCTGGAATCGCGCCGTGTTGCGCTTGCACGTTCGGCGACGCTGTGATACTTCTCCGCCGCATGCAATCAGGGCGCCCTCAGGTTGCGGCCATACAAACGCAATTTCTGCCCGTTTGGCGCCCCAAACCGACCGTCCGAACAGGGCGTGTCGCACGGTCTATCGGTGACGGCCTGACCGAGCACGACTCATGCGTCGACTTGCGCCGGCCGTGCAATATTGTTTTGCAATGTAGCCCGATGAATCTGGGCATCGGCCATAAACCGTAAAGGGCTGAGCCAAAATGGCAACGGAAGGTGTGGAAGGGAGAAAAAGAAAAGGAAGTGGAGGAGGCAGTGGGAGAGGATGTAAGGGAATGTAAGGGGGGCGAGGCGGCTGGGGAAGAAGGGGATAGGGGCGGCGAGCACGCATCGGCCACGACTGCGACCCAGGCCCGAGCGCCCGGCCAGGCGCCTGACCCATCGACCACACGAGTAACCCGACGGAGCTCGGAGCATTGCGTACAACGGCCTTTCTTCGGAGGGCGAGGTTATCGATGGGGGGGCTCACCAATGAGCCATGGCCGAAAACACGTACCGCAATCGTGGGGGGAACCCGCCACCTCTCCAACGGAAACCCCAGGCACTAGAGATTTTGTTGCCCAAGTTCATCGTTGTTGTCATCATGTGAGAACCGGTAGCAGTGCATACGCTTTGCGCCTCTTCCGTGCGCTTCCCCCCCTCAAAACATCAGAATTCTGAGACGCCCGCGAGCACATCTTGTCCCCCCTCGAAGATTTCCTTCTACTAGTACGTCCGAGAATGCCCGAGACGAAAATGACGGGAAATCTACGCTCTCCCCTCCCCCGTCCTCCTCTTCGCATTTCTCCTGCCCCTCCCTCCTAACTCATCCCCTCTCTTACGAAATTTCCTCTAGTAATTTCCAGGGGACCTCCATTTTCTTCCTCCGCCTCCTCCTCCCTCCTCTCTCCTCCTCCTCCTCCTCCTCCCCCCCCTCCTCCTCCTCCTCCTCCTCCTCCTCCTCCTCCTCCTCCTCCTCCTCCTCACCCTCCTCGTCGGTGTTTCGATCGACTTGAATTGCCTGCAAAGGAGATCCAGTCGAGGCGCACTTCGGGCGGCCCCCAGAGGCCCGCAGGAGGACTCAGCAATCCCCGTATTTTGGTGCTCGGACCCCCCCACAAATCGTGCGCAGCAGGGCACGGGGGCGCCAAAGGTCAGCTCGGTACCCCACAGAGGCTCCTGGACTGCCCCCCCAACCCGTGCTCGCCATACCCACATGGACCACCAGGGGGGCCAGGTACACCCGTCAACCTCTACAGGTCGACCACTACACGGGGGGGGGAGGCAAGCCAAATCTACAGGTAGAGCAAGAACCTGTTTACCCCAAATTGCTTCTACAGGTACAGCCAGTACCTGTAGAAGCCAAACTGCTTCTACAGGTACGACCTGCACCTGTTTACCCCCCTTCCCTTCGAAAAAAAACACACCAAACGAGCGGGGTAAACAGGTGCAGCCTGTACCTGTTTACCCCGAGGGAGTACCTGAAGGGACAACGGCTTCTACAGGTACAGCCTCTACCTGTTTACCCCAAACTGCTTCTACAGGTACAGCCAGTACCTGTAGAAGCCAAATTGCTTCTACAGGTACAGGCTGTACCTGTTTACCCGGACGCAGTACGTTGGCCCACCAGGACTGCCGTAGGGAACACCGCCTAGGTACACAGGTCGGGCGTGTCGAAGGGTCGTGGAGGGAGGGGGGCAGGAGTAGGAGGGGCAGGGCGGACCATCGACAGAAGGGGGGGGCGAGGAGGAGAGAGGGAGGGAGGCAAGGCCGGAAGGAAGAATGGAAGGAAGCAAAGGGGCACGCTCTCCCCCCATGCGCAACTACCAGGGGGGCAGGATTTTCCCGCCCTGCCTCGTCGTGGCCCGCCGCTCCCCTGCTCCATTTGGCCCTGTGGCCCCCTGCTCCCTCCCCCCTCCTCCCCCCCGCCCTTTTCGCCCCTCCCCTGGGGTTCGTCCCAACCCCCCCACCCACCCCTCCACTCCCTTCCACCCACCCCTCCACCACCCCCCTCCACC